CAGCCTCCAACTCCTGGGCTCAAGTGATCCTCCCACCCCAGCCTCCTGAGTAGCTGGGACTACAGGTGCATGCCACTATGCCTGGCTACTTTTAATAATTTTTTTGTACCGATGGGGTCTTGCTATGTTGCCCAGGCTGGCCTTGAACTCACGGGCTCAAGTGATCCTCACCTGTCTGAGGACAGTCTCCTCAGGCCGCTGTCACTCTTCCTCCAGCAGCCCCCGCATCTGCTGGTCTAACTCCTTCGCCTCCTCCACGTCTGAGCTCGCAGCGCAGCCTCCTGCAGGCCCACCCTGATCACCCCATTTTACACTGCGGTTTGCCTCCCCCACATCCGCCACTGCTGACCCCACCATCCTGCTTTAATTTTGTCATAGTATTTATCACGTTCTAATATAACACGTAACTTTCTCGCGATGTTTAGTGTCTCTCTCCCCTTGCTCGAGCGAACGCGAGCCCAGCGGCGACAATGTTTTGCTCGCTGACCCCCAGCATGCAGGACGGTGCCTGCCACGCACCGCGCACACAGCGAGTATTAGATGGAGCTGCGTCTGGGGCACCTAACCTTGGACGAAGACACCCCAGCAGTGCAAACTGAACGTGTCCGTGACTGACATCTCCCTCCCATTGCACCTGCTTTTCCTGTGAACGGCAGTAACAGCCTCCCAGTTGCTTCATCACAAAATCCGGGTGTCATCCTAACTCCTTTCTCTCCCTCCACTCTCCCACGATGGCCCACAGCCGCTGCAAACCTCCCCGCCTCCTTCGTGCCGCAGAGACCTCACTTTCGGCAAATCTTCCCTGATCTGTCCTTTCTCCTCCAGGCCAGCCCGCTCTTCTGTAAGTGCGGGCACCAGTATGCGCGCCCCCTCTTCTCCTCTCTGCTGCCTCCTGGTTTTCCCCTCAACTAATGGAACACAAATCCTCAAGGGGCATCTCCTCCTTGCCTCTTGTTTCCTCCAGGGCCACCCGCACCGCTCCACCCCCCCAGCGCCCATCGGTCTCCTTCCACTGCTGCCACTCTGCACCCACTGCTCTCCGGACGGTCACCATGACGTCAGATGTGGCCAACTGCCACATCCAAAGGGCCTCTTCTCCGACGTCCTCCCCTTCATCTCTGCATGACTCACCTTAAGGGCCACCCGCGTGCCCTGGAGGAGGGACTCATACCTGAGCTCTGTCACAGTGACTGCCTTCTCCTTCTCTCCCCACTAAAAACAGACTTTCTCCAGGGCTCCCTCATGGCCTGCATCCTGCTTTGTGCTCCATGACAACCCGTTAACCTCCTGGGGTGAGGAAAGCTGCCGGGCCTGTGCCCTAAGCCCAGCCTGTAGGGGCCCGGGCTGCTCCCTAATTCGGTCGTCCCCACAGCCCAGGTTCCTGAGCTCCACGGGCCTCCAGGGCTGACAGCACGCAGGCCCCACCTGAGCCATCAGAGCCAGGGCCTGGCATCCCTCCCTCTTTCCACTCCCAGGCCTCTTTTCCAACAACTTCCCTCTGGACGCTGCAACAGCCTTTTCCTCTCCACCAATCCTGACTGGGGCAGACCCACGCCAAAGCCGGGGCGCCCAGGCCTCCCCCGTGTCTGGGGACTCTGGACCCACCGTCCTGCAGGCACCAGCTCTGCCCCGGCTCATGCTTGGCATTCTACTCTCACGTCCCTTCACATGGGTTAGGACAATGAATTTGAACATACGTATTTAGCATGCACACGTACACACGCATTGTTATATATTATGTATTTTATGTGTCTATACACACGAGGGTGCACAAATATACTCTTCTAAATATAAATAACGATTTATTAATATTTTCACATCACCTGGCCTGGAAGTAGGATTATAAGTTAATGTGTTTGTTTTTTTTAATGTAAATTTTTTAAAAAAGAGTAGGGGGAGATGGCCTCTGAGAAGTTGAAGATTTTCTCCAAAACTCCTTTTGAATTGTGTCCCCCTAAAATTCATACGTGAAGCCCTAACCCTCAATGTGACTATTTAGAGCTAGGGCCTTTAAGGAGGTCATTAAAGTTAAATGAGGTCATAGGGACACAGTAAGATTAGTGACCCTGTAAGAAGAAGAGACACCAGGAGTGTAATTTACAGAGATAACACTATGTGAGGACACAGCAAGCAGACGGATGTCTGCAGGCCAAGGAGGGAGGCCTCAGGAGAAACCCACCCTGTCATCTTGGACTTCAGCCTCCGGAGAACTGTGAGAAAGCAACTGTTGTTGAAGCCACCCAGCCTGTGGTATTTTGTTATGGCAGCCCAAGGTGACTAATACATAGGCTAAGGTCAAAAGAATTGGCCCTTTTAACACATAAAAGAGATATCTAATGTACGTATCTAAGTGGAAGATGTGTAAATATAAGGAACGCAGGAATGGCTTAGGTTATAAAATAGTCCCATAATGGGATTAGTGTCCTTAGAAGAAGAGAATGAGCCCAGAGCACTCCCTGCCCCACCCCACCAGATCTGCGAGGACACAGTGAGAGGGGGCCCTCAGGGGGAACCGAGTCAGGCAGCACTTGATCTTTGACTTCCCGGCTCCAAACCTGTGAGAAAGAAAAGTCTGTTGTTTAAGTCCCCCAGTCGATGGTATTTTATGGCGGCCCGAGCTGACTAAGGCAGCGGCTCTGGCGCTTGTTAACCGTGCGAGCTTAAGCAAGTTCCTTCCCCTCTCTAGACTTCAGCTTTCTCATCTATGAAATAAGGACAGTGAGTCCCTACCTTCATGGGTCGTGCTGTAGACTGTGTGCAAGACTAAGCTAAGTGGTGAGCACTCTGTGCCGGGTGAACACTGGCGCAGGGTGGGTACTTGGTCCATGTTGACTGTTACACAGAGGATCAGTCCACCATAAAGTGGCTTTCCTCGCTGTTGAAAACTCTCAATAATTTAAGACAGAGGAGAGTAAAGGAAAGCCAGAAACAGCAGCTACTGTTTTTTCTTTGTTAGAGACAGGCAGGGTCTTACTCTGTTGCCCAGGCTGGGGTGCAGTGGCGCAATCATACCTCACTGCAGCCTCCAACTCCTGGGCTCAAGTGATCCTCCCACCCCAGCCTCCTGAGTAGCTGGGACTACAGGTGCATGCCACTATGCCTGGCTACTTTTAAAAATTTTTTTGTACCGATGGGGTCTTGCTATGTTGCCCAGGCTGGCCTTGAACTCACGGGCTCAAGTGATCCTCCCATCTGAGCCTTGCAAAGTGCTGGGATGACAGGCATGAGCCACTGCACCCAGCCAGCCACTGTGTGCAATTTCACTCTCACAAATCACTGTCTCCTCTGTGCCAGAGGCTGTGGAAGAGAAGCAAAGCTCCCCTCTGCTTATCTCAGGCCAAATCCCAGGGGCCTGCCTGGGGCAGCAGGACAGGTGTGCAGTCACCTCCATCCCCTGCTCTTCTGAAGTCA